TTTTTTTTTTTTGGTACCGGGGATCAAACTCAGGACCTTGTGCTTGTGAGGCAGGCGGCCTCACCACTGAGCTAAATCCCCGGCTCTCTTCCTTTTTCTTTTCTTTACTCTCTTTGTGGTGCTGAGATTGAGCCCAGAGTTGGCACTTAGCTACATTCCCAGCCCTTTTTAATTTTTTATGTGAAGACAGTGTCTTGCTAACTTGCTAAGTTGCTCAATTGCCCAGGCTGGGCTCAAACTTGTGACCCTCCTGCCTCAGCCTCCCAGAATGCTAGTATTATAGGCGTGCCCCACCACACCTGGCAACACTGGCCATATTTCAAGTGCTCATAAAACAGGACTAGTGGCTACTGTTTTAGATGGTGTGTATATAGAAAGGTTTTTGTCACTGTAGAAGGTGCTGTTCATCACTTCTTGGCCTTTTGGCTAAGATCAAGTGAAAGTGCTGTTGATAGCATTGAACAAGAGCCTTAAATGGACTTAAGTTCAATTTTTTAGGGGCTGGGGATGTAGCTCAGCGGTGTGGCACCTGCCTGGCAAGCACAAGGTCCTGAGTTCTATCCCAGGTACCAAAACAAAAAAAAAAGTTCAATTTTTTATGTTGGTACACATCACAAAGTTGCTGTGTACTTCCTGTGACATAGCATCATCCCCAGATGTTATACTTTTTTTGATAATCAGAGTATTAAATGAGTCTAGCCATGTTTTGGGACATTTCTAAAGAAAAGAAAAAAGATTTTTAATACTCTTTATTTAGAACAGACTAGGTGATAGAGAATAATTCCTAAATGCAGGACAGAGCCATTCTGACCATATTAAAATCATCTGAGGCCGGGTGTGGTGGTGCACATCTGTAATCCCAGCATTCTTCAAGGCTGAGACAGGAGGATCTCATGCTCAAGCCCAGCCTGGGCAACTTAGTGATTTAATGAGACCCTGTCTTAAAATAAAAAAAGAAATCTTTAGAAAGGTGGGTGTAACTCAGAGTGAAGGTTCAATCCCCAGTACCATTATTAAAAATGAATAGGGAGAGGGCCAGGGATTTAGCTCAGTGGTGCTTCTGCCTGCCTTGCCAGCACAAGGTCCCAAGTTCGATCCCCAGTACGAAAAAAAAAAAAGAATAGGAAGAAGAAATCACTTGAAATACTTAGTATAATAAGGTGATTGAGAGTCATTCTGCCTGGACTTGATTCCTGCCTCTAACCTCTCCTGAGCTGTGAAATAGGAAAACTGAAATAGGAAAATAATAGTCCTTAGCTTGTAGGTTATTGTGATGGTTAAATGAGATAATATATGTAAAGCACGTAACACAGAGTAAGTTTCCAGTGATGATTAACTACTCTTATTACGTGGATTTTTTAAATTCTAAAAATACGGCTTCCTAGGCTTTACTCTGGGAGAATCTAATTTGGTAAAGTCTATGCTGGGACCTGGGATCTGCATTTCCAACACGTTCTGTAGGTGATTCCCAGAGTCCCAGGCCCTTCGACTCAGATCTCTTCCCCAGATCTTTTCCTGTGGTGACCTTGACGCTGTCCTGTCCTCGGAGCAGCACGTGGTGGCTGGACATCCCCGGCATCTGTCAGAGAGTAAACACGCCCAGTAGGCTGCCAGATTGACCAGGTCAAAACCTCCTGTTTTATCTGGTCACCCTAAGTCCAAGGCTTTTTGCCCTGTGGGTCTTCCTGTCATATTAACCTTAGGATGGAAGAGTGTGGAATGTGTAAAAAGAAAACTATAAAAAATCAGAAGTACCATTATGTAATATTTAGAGATTGTATAATGAATAGGGTCTTATGTTTAAGTTAGGGATGGTACCTAGATTCTCTTGAACCCATGCAGAGACTGTGTTTTGTTTTTTTTGTTTTTGTACTGGGGATCAAACTTGGGTCCTTGTGCTTTCAAGGCAAGCAGCAGAACCACTGAGCTAAATCCCTGGCCCGAGGCTGTGTTTTATAAAACCAAAGCAAGGAGACTGTAGGGATCATCTTGTCCAGTCTGCTCATTTTGCAGGCGAAGAAATCGAGGCCCAAGTAGAGAGAGGAAATGAATTGTCCAAGGTCGGTAGCAGGGCCACAACCTGTCTCTAGCTTCTCCGGTACTTGCTCCTCTGTGTTATCTCTCAGTCCATTCAGACTATAGTGTTCCATCCCGGCCCCAAACATTCATGTTCTCTTCAGTGTGAAATTCATTCTATCCTCAGAGTACCAAAGGTCTTAATTAACTCTGGTGTGAAATCCAAATTTTAAAGCCAAAGTCTTACCTCAATGTCATCGAAATTGGTTATAGATAATATTCAAAGTCTTTCATTCTGAGGCAAATGGCACTTCAGCTGTGAATGCTATAGCATCCACCATGTTACGTGCTTCCAAAATCCGATGGTGGGACAGGAGTAGAGTAGTTGTTCCCATTCCAAGGGAGAGACATAGGAGAGGAGAACCGTGATAGACACTTGCATCAGTCCAAACCCTGATGGCTTGAGAGTAGGTTTTGGCTTTGTGCTCTGCCTTTCAGACCCTTTGGGCGGAGGTCCTGCTCTATGGCTTTGGGTGTCCCACCCCTTGTCTTTGCTGGGCACAGCTCATAGAGTTGCCCACCTGAGGCTCTCTGGGCTGGAATCACACCTCGAGGCGATGCAGGTCTAAGGACTCAGGGCCAGCTCATTCTCATGGTGCCCCTGGACCCCC